GGAGCCGAGTTTCGCGGCACGACTCCGTGCAGCAAACAAGTTATTGACTTGTTGCATTGAAATAGTATACCGTGGCTCAAAAACAGATAGGTACATCAGATTTTCAACAGATACTTCACCAAGGACAGAAATTTGATACCAATAACCACACATGCAATTTTGCTGGAGCAGCTTCGGCTAAGGAGGAGGGGCATTTTTTACTCCCGCTGCTCATTGATTAAGATTTACAAGTTTCACTTTGGTGAGGTCTGTGAGCTATTGGAAGCTGGAGCAAGCAAGCTACCATGGTAGGGAGTGTTCGTATGGTATTTCATAGCTTCACAGCTATTCTTACAAGAGTTAAAAGTAGTCTCTACAATCTTTGGCTGGTATGCTTTCGTGGCTTCACAAGATTTCGCAGGTCTACACTTTGACTCAACACGTCGACGGCAATTAGAAAAAGTGGAAAATGCCCTCCCTCAATCGTCGAACTGGACAATGTTATTATGTTGTTATGATATGATATGATGACAATATTATTATGATGCTGAGGTTGAACGTATACTGGCTTTCCACTCACCCAACTCGTACTGCCAGTTGTCATTATTGCAGATAGTAGATAATGTTCCAACTAAAGAAAATCCTGAGTTGCACAGTGCACTAGCGCTCGTTCCTACGGCAAACACTGGAGGCGGATTGTAAATTACTTGACCGTTAGCGAGGGATAACGCGGAGCAGCCTGCCTAAATTAGCAGAGAATTGCATACGATCAAATAACTGTTGGAAAGCCCAGGCTAAAAGTACTATATTTTCCTATTTAACAGAGAGGAAGCAGATGGTGGTATTTCGCACGACGCTTGCCATCGGAGTCGGTATTTGCTAAAAAGGTTTATAAGAGACCTCAGATGATATATTGAGCATAGACTAGCCCTGAAGACCTTTCGGACCCCGTTTAAAAGTACCTTATTGGAAATATTCAACAATTTGCAGCGTCAAATGTAAGTATAGATTGTCAACGCGGTCAGGTCTTATTGCTGCTCTTTAATAGAGGAGCATCGAAAAGAAGTAGCTCAGCGTGTGCATTATGTCCGCGCAGGAAGAAGGTACTAAAAATCTTTTTTTTATGATTCCACTTGAAGTGAAAAAGTAGCATCAGGAAGCACACACCTTTCAAACCAAATTCACCACTCTTTTTAGACCGGGCAGTTCACCAACCAGATCACGCCAGACACCACTGCGAGCTCCGCCCCGACGGCCACGCCTACTTGTCAGCGCGGACATAGATTTTCAACACATCGACACATGGCCGACTCCGCCCATTCTTTGAAGGGTTTGTTGCGAACTTCAAAATTTCATAAATTTTTCAACTTTTTAACTTCACATCCACTCTTTGCACAACGAAGACACTCGTACCCGCGCATTTATGCACTGGCAACTTAGGCTCCGCCCCCTTGGCCACGCCCACTTGCTTTTTGCGGAATTTTGATATTTTTTCAAAATTTTTGCATTTTTGGACTGCTCCATGAAGCCCCGCCCACAGCAACACGATGCCATCATCGGGGGTAAATAAATCAGGCAAAGTTTGTTCCGAGTGACGGACGAGACCCTAGCATGCAAGCCAAGACTCTATACTGCCGATTTGCACCATTTTTGAAAAGTGGGCGGGGCTTCTTCGAAGTGGGCGGAGCCTCTCACAGTGGGCGGGGCTTCATGGAGCAGTTCAAGAAAGCAAATTTTGAAAAAAATTCTTAAAATCAAGATGGCGTGACCAATAGGGGCGGGGCTCCGCCTAAGTTGCTAGTGCATAAATGCGGTACGAGTGTCTTCGTTGTGCAAAGTGGATGTGAAATTAAAAAGTTGAAAAAGTTATGAAATTTCGAAGTTCGCAACAAACCCTTTGAAGAATGGGCGGAGTCGGCCATGTGTCGATGTGTTGAAAATCTACCCGACAAGAAACTTCAGTATTACCGCCACGCTACCGTAACCCAAAGCGGCGCCCAGTTAATTGTAACTCCGCAGTGGACGTACGTATAACACTGAACTTTACGCCAGTACCACTACGAGATTTGCGGAAACGCTTGCATATACTGCACTTTCAAGGATGGACGGGAATTTCGTGCACATTTCACTTATGCTTTCTTTCGTCTCGACATAGAGGTTCTATGTTTGGCATATGCGCAGCGTATACCAAAATATAGAATCTCTAGGTCGAGACATATCATGTCGCACGTTGACCATACTGCGCTACAACGCTTTTTTCTAGCTATCCGGAGAATAATTACCTGAATATAAAGCCGAATACATTTAAACTTACTCCAGACCAGAATATTCTTTTACAAGTGGTTTCCCAACTTATCGCATGAAATTTCACTGCATGCTTAGTGATTGGAAAAGCGAAAAACGTCACTATCACTAGACATAAAAAGTAGTGATCTGATTACTGACATGACATTTTTCGTGACGATACCATTTGGCGCCAGTTTAGATCGG